CCAACCATGATGATTGTACTTGTGCGTTCACATGACTTTTGGGCAATTAGACCCAGTACATGCTCAATTGTACTATCTAGCGCCATGGAAAACAACTGGCGAAATGTTTCTGGATGAACTCTGAGTTTGTCCCCACTCCACACAAGTTTGCCATTATAATTTGTCTGCTCGATGGTTTCATTTAAGTCTTCACCTGTATTTGTCTCAAAAAGTTCCTTAAGCGCAATGGGGATTTTCATCGTTACCTTATTTTTCGTTGTTTGATCCACTGTACGTTTCTTAGTCTCAAACTCTCTAAACATGTCGACAAAATCAGAAGTGTTTTCACTGCGAAATTCCTGCATGACCTCATTCCCAACAATCTTTATTAGCATTTGTTGAAATGATTCATCCACTGTAGTCCCTCCCCAGGATCCTCCACTGGCCTTGTCCAGTTCTTTGAGATGTCCATCTTGTTCAACTTCGTGCACAGTGATGTCAACCGTTCCTCCTGCAGAAAGTGAATACCATTAGGATTCCTCTGTCTTCAAAACACTTGCTTTGTTAAGACAACAGTTTAAAGTGGAACGCAAATGCTTTGAATTACTTTCAGTGTTTGATTTATTTCAATAGCGTGTCCATGTAAATGTACAGGACAGGAGACGCTTGGTGGTATGATAATTTTAAGGCCAGAATGTTAGTTTTTTTAAATGTATGTTGGTAATTATGGTGTTCTGAAATAGTTCTATCAAACAACAAAAATCTATGATTACCTGTGGCTTTCCTGAACACAAGCTTATTTTTGCTGCACCAGCAGCTTCATATGTAGACTTAGTAGTTTATACATTTATTTTAACAAGAGTCAAGAACCTTGAACCTCTTCAGAGTTTAAAGGTAATTCAGCAAACAGACTACATGACCACTTACATAACATATGAAATACATAGACCTGGTTTACAGTACACCATGTCATATGTGGTTCATATTTATTAAGCCTGTGTGAACACATGAACTTTTTGGCTTAGTAAATACCCAAAAGCCATAATTATATTCAATTTGAACTGTACTGAGAGTGTTTCACCTAACCAAAATTGTCAAAAAAACACACACAACTGTTGGTTACATATTAGATATACCGTAGTAGTTAAATAAAATAATTGATGCAATTGCATCATACAACTGCTTTTTCCTTCTAGGACCTAAAGTTGGAAACCTAAGAGAGGAAAATCCAGTGATCGAATCAAAGGTCAAAATCATGATGAGGAAGTACAGTAGCCCTATAATACAGTAACTTTCATAACTGTCCATACATGAAATTTCATAAGAAATTCAAGTACTTGTACTTATTCTGAACCATGGGTTATATGGTATTCACAAGCAAAATATAACTATAATACAAGAATTCTTGAGATTTAATGAAGTAAAGTGCATGTACATGTAAATAGCACTTTCAACCAGGCAACAATAATATTGATATTTTGGATGGGTCGTCTGTGTATTTTCCACAATTAAAATAACATTTTCTTGCAGATATGCCAACATGCTGCGATAGATTGCTTGAAAACAGGGAAAAAATACAGTGTTTCAGGGTCACCTGGAGGAGTCATTTTATTTATTTCAGCAATTTCACAAATTAATATTTTTAATATTGAAAAAACAATTTTTTTCAATATTTCTGCTTTTAATAAATATTGATCTAGAATCTTTCTTATGACCTAAACTGATGACAAGGGTTGTCAGGGATGGGTGATGCTTACCGAATGGGAAATATTTTAAGTATGAAAAATATTAAAGGACAAGAACCCCTAAATTATGCAAAAGAGAGAGATGATTCTTGTTATGCACTGCACTTCTTCTTGTCGAGATCAATCTACCTATGAAGTTTTATGTTGATACCTATTATAGGTTTTGTGTTAAGCTCCGGACAAAAATTATGACAGATGGACTGACAAATGGACGAACAAACAGACATATGGATTGATGGACAAAGCGGCAACTGTATGCTCTCCCTTAGACTTCAGTATACATTTGAATATCATCGTCCTTTATCAGCATATCCTTCACCAGACAAGTATACAAGAGGATATTCTAGCAAATTTATTGATATTTAGGATTAAACCTTCAAAAATGTTTCATTGGAGATTTGAGATAACATGCACCTCTATTTATTAAACCATCCATACATTATTAAACACCTTCTATATTGCCAATTTATCAATGAAAATATTTAATTCCTGACATATACTGTGAATAGTAACATTTCCAAGCACTTTGTTTCATCACAGATTAGAGACATGCACCTCTCCAGATAACTCTATATATTATTAAACACATCGCCACTTTATCAACATAAATATCTAACTCCAGACATACTGAGAACAGTAACACTTTCATGCACTTTGGGGCAGATATAGTACCTCTCCTAACAGCCCTACGTACATTATTAATCTCTATGTACATGCACATCCACAAGTTTTAAGAGGAGACAATCTATTCCTTATAGCAAGTGATAAGTAACATTTCAACAGCTGTAGAGATTTTACTGTCACAGATTCTGTTTCTTTAATACCACTATCTTTTAGCTCATATCTAGTGATTAAATCACTCAATAAATACACTAAAGAATAACATGATATGCAGGTGAAAAATATCTTTAATTAAAACACATGTTTAAATTGCTCCGTTTAACATATTTTTGTAATACTTTCCTTGGGATTTTAGAAAAAAAACGACATATTTTTGTTGACACAGAATTGTAGAGAAACACAAGTTGTGAACTATTTATGTGCATGTGTGATGTTAGGCATGACCAGCTGTCAGTTCTTCTAAGGAATTACACATCACAATAATGAAAAGAGAAAAGGAAATATGACAACGCAATAAATCATCACAGATTAAAGCTTGAAACAAATACAAAGGCTGGTCACAGAGAACAAAACATCCTCTCCAACAGCTATCATATTGATAAAGACACGTGGCCACATTCTGTCTAGAACCGTCACCATACCATTTATTTTGTGGTGACAATACTATTTATGATTCAAATTTCACCTTGTAAAGCAGGAAGAATATATACATTGTACATTAAAGTTTTGCTTCATGCGCAACATTCAGATACTTGTCTTTCCAACTTCACTGTGGTTATAACTTCCCTATATGTGACATGTTTGATATACAATATATGTGCACATTACTGTGATATACATGTCATTTAACCCCAGTATAGTAGACACGTCTTGTTACATTATCATGAATCAGCTGTTACAACAAAGGGAATACCTACATGTAAAATTGACCTTAATCTAAACTCAAATTTGATGCGACTAAGACCAAAATGAATAGAAGAAATATTGACATGGAGACTTCCGAGAAGCTACAATGAAAATAAGATTAGTTGTTCTGAAAGAATGAGTGCCTCATGCTTCATCAACAACAACTGATATATGGGAATAAAGTATATAAGGGAACCACCAGGCAAACTTATTACCAAGCAATTAGCAAACTGTACAAGGAAATAGAACATTTCCTAATGATATCATCATGATGGCCATACAACTTCCTCACTGTATTCATAAGCCCACATCTTGTAAAACCTTGCACTTAGTATTATCAGTTTGTCTGTCAGTTGCCAACATTTTACACAAAAAATTGTGTTATAAGGAAAAAGCTGTTGAATATTGAATAACTGCTTTATTAGTGTCAGTTGTTTAAATATCAAGTAACACTCTCATAAATACTCAAACTGACTAATGTTAATTTTCAGTACCTCCTAATACTGAGAAACAAAAGAAAAAACCTGTATTTATTAGTTATGATTTTAAGATTTCATTTCAAATCTGTTTAAATAATAGATTTTACTGACACACATCTGTTGTGCATGACAATTTCTCTACTTAAATGCTAGTAATAATAATTTTGGCATTGCAGATTAAAGGGATATGAGGGTGTTAGCCAGACCAAAGGAAAATTCTTAGTGAAACACAACACAGATTTCAATGTCATAGGAACAGACAAACTTGATCACCATCTGTCTGCTTGGTCTAGGATTTGGTGTCCCTGGTACAAGTTTTGTGCTATTCTGAACCAGTTGCTAAGTGCTGCAATCATGTAAATAGATTCTAACAAGGTTTTATATATATATATATATATATATAATTACAACTTTTGGTCTGCAACTTCATCACTGGCTGGCAGTTGTACACACACCTGTTAGTCTAAGATGACTTCATGACAATGCACAATAATGACAAGTCAGTGTTCTTGTCACAGCAGTTTAGGGGCTTAAAGCCTATAGTACATGTAACCGATCTCTCTTTTTACATTGTACATAATTTGTTAGACTATACAAAGATCTTTATACCTCACTAGTGGTGTTACCCAACACCTAATGAACAGGTCTGGGATGTATGACATTTTGCCTTGTGTATTATTGCACATGCAATAATTGCGAATTTGGATTGTATTAAAGTCTCTCTGACATAGGAAACAGTGCGACAGTTTCAACAACTGTAACTATATAAGAATTTGATGCTCTGCTATTCTATACAGCTTTCATTTAACAGGGAAGGACATGGTTTCTATGTTTGTCATTATTATATTGTTAGGTATACACAAAAATTGTTAATCCTCCTTTATAATATAACAGAGGACCAGTTTGTTTTATCTATGTAATCCTCTCTAGATGCTGGTAAACCACAGTTATACACATGTTTGTTTTAGATAGGAAATCACCACACTTATTTTACCTATTTCCATGAACAAGATTTCCTTTTAACTCCTAGACCTATATGATACATTCTAAATACCTTTCAGACACTTTTATGTTATCCTCGGAATGCAAATTTCAATGATTATAGCTGACAAAAGGAGACAGAAATTCAGCTTAAATATTTGATTTGATCAAGAGTTCATATATAAAGCTGTTTTTCTCTGAATACATTGTGTGCTGTATTACATAGCTTACAGAGAGGATGCTAATGAAACAAACCTGTTTCAAGGAACATTTGAACATTTTAACCTACCTCCAGCATCCAGCACCAGATATTTGCTGCCCTTGGAAAAACAGGTGAAGCCCTGTCCTGATCCACCCAACTTTTCCACTGGTAGATTTTTACAATACAGTGAGGCAGCTTCTGGCTCAAGGGCAATTTTCAACTGGTCACCTTTGATTCCAGCCTGCACAAATAAACAATTTACATAAACCTAACACTGATAATGTCAGTTCCTGCACTCCTTGGCATTTAAGGTACAACCTGGTGCTCAGCAAGACTCCTGTATCATTCACCTTACGTTTTTCTGATATTAACCCTTAATAGGGAAAATAACAAAAATTATTAGGGCTAGTGCGCCCCTTCATCTAGATTCAGATTTTGATTTTTAGATTTTTTTTTTTACTAATTTGCATTTTCCTCAGTTGCCATTTCCCTCCAAAGTTTCGAAAATAAGGCCCTTAGTATTATTGACAAGACCTATACGAACAACATGTATGATGCAGTAATTCATTATTTGGAGCTACTTTTACTACTTCTGATTTTGTTTTGAGGCAATACTCACTTTTATGTCTTTGGTACCATATTTTTTGCTACTCATTTGTGTGTCTTTTAGACGATCTTTATTGTCTCTTGGTCATTTCAATGACTTCACTTGGCTATATTCAGATACTTAACCCCTTACTAATGATCAAGTTGAAAATCAATTAAGGTAATTTATTTATACAAACTCAAAAGTCCATTACCCAAGCATATTGCTGACAAAAAATTACCCTTGTTCTTTTGGTTATTCAATAAAGGTTGTTTAAAGATTCAATCACATTTGACCTGTGTGACCTTTAAAGTTTCCTCATTACTCCAGAGATTTTGCTCACTATCACTTCCTGCAGTCCTTGAACATCCCATAGCAAAATTTAAGATTGGGTAAGGCGAGAAAACTAATTTGATCATTTGATGTACATTAAACAAATCTGGATATCACTTATAGTATGTTGTACTGGCTTTGAAGATGGGTATCGCTCCTTTGTAGTCATCAAAGGAGCATATCAGTCTGTAATTGGTCAGGTTTTCTTCACATGAAATCACTGACATGTATCTAGAATACAAAATTTTGATTTGTTTTTTTTTACATAATCTGAGCCCTTCTCCCTTATAAATATGTCAAGGTCATTTATTTGAACAACCAAAAACACTTTAATCAAAGCAAAGCTACTAGCTGATTATCAAAACCCTTGGGTATTTAGATAGTCAGAAGATGCTGTTTGAAGATTTTTATAATTTTCATTTAAGTATTTTTCTACAGTGATGTAATGAATGAATGACTTGTAAATGTAGACTATCTACAGGACTGGTGTAGAATAAGTTTCCTCTATCACATCTACCTTCTGGTATATGATTCCAAGAGAATTTCAATTAAAATTGACATTAATCTTTATCGTAATATACTGACCAATAGTGTACTTTTATCAGTCAAGAGGTTTTGGTTCCAGAACGGAGAATATTTAGAAGAAAAAAAAACATACCGTAAAAGGCAATAATGAATTAACTTCAGACATCATCCCAGCATGTTATAATATCACTTGCTGTAAAGACTGGGCAAAAGTTAAATACATACCTCTTCAGCAGCTACTCGCATAAACTGTTTTGCAGGATCATTCCAGATAGCAGGTACTGTGAGTACCCACTCAATTTCAGATTCCTTAACACCTGCTCCTCTCTTGTCTAGAGCCATCAGCAAATGTCCCTTCAGATATTTTATGGCTTCTGAAAACACTTTCAAGGCAGGAAGTTCTCTGTCTCGGATATCTTTCAGCATCACTTTTTTTGACAGGCCCTGTACAAAATGGCAAATTTTAAAATGAATCTATACTGGCTTTACTTTTGTATACAGATAAATACCATAATGTTATGAATGAAATGTATCGTTACATTAAAACAAGAACATTTGATTGATAACTAACAAGAAAGAAGTGGAATTCAGAGTATGATAAATGACACACAGTGCTTGACTATCACAATGTCTTTATTTCCGCTATGGACACAGCAATGCTTGATTCACATGATAGATTACAAGGTACACTATTGATGAAAAATACTTTTTTAGTTTAGATCAAGCTATATGTATCAGAAGGTAATGTGAAGAATTCAATACTCTTGTTAAGGCATTTATGGACATTATAAAAGACAGAGCTGACTTTTGCATGAGCATGCAATATGATGTTTGAAATGCTCTGTCATTCATGGTGAATATAAATGACATATTACAATCTCTTACTTGAATAAGAGTTACTACATGTAATGAATCACTACATTTTCCACAGGCTTTACTCAAACAATGTCATCTCTACTCACTCTATATTTAATCTCATGATATCCTCCTTCAAAATGTATCCGATCATTCCTTAGATATTTTACAAATTCAATCAATACATAACATGATTAAAAAGCTTCATATCTTGATGGGGCAAATATCATACTTACACCTTTACCCTCTTTGCCGTAAAGCATCATCTTAAACCTGCGGAAGTAGTACCAATCTAAATGGTCATTATCTTCTGCTAATTGAGAGTAGTGGTCCTCAGCTTCATACCCAAAGGAGTGGAATTTTTCATTTTTGTCCAGGAGCACTGTTGTAGGAGCTTTCAGGGACACTAATGCCCTTGACCCCGCATTCCAGGTACTGGCACTGATCTTCAACGGGTCGTTTTCAAAGTCATGTCGAAATGAAAATGCATAGCCTGAATAGGTAGTGCCAAAGTCTATAGCTGCAACTAACAATTTCTCACAATCTGCCATCTTTGTCACTTATACTTATTATCACTGCAAGATAAAAAAAAAAACACAAGTACAGAGTAAACTCAATTGTGTGTATTACTGGCACTGTGAACTTGATTACAGCAAAAATAATATTAAAATCAGTATGAAGAATTCAAAGAACTATTGCATAATACATGTATTAAATGAGAGGGAGTCAAGTCTGCGTTCCCCCCTATGAGATAACTGGTTATCTTTAGTGAAAATTCTATTTCTGTATATAAACAAAAAACATGTTTTAAAGATTTTCATATACTATCTAACACTGCTGCTGTGCCCTTATGAAGGGTCAATGGAGATTCTTTGATAAAGGTGGAGGGGTTGCAATTCCGTGTCATCCAAGAATTTGCTTCTCACTCCAAAGTTCCAAATCCCATGATCCAAACAAAAGAATTCTTTACCTTTATTTCCTCTTTTTACCCTAGCATGAACCATGAATCCTCCTTTTATACAAAGTTACACCTCTTCACCCAAGGATGCTAAAGACGTTTTGTCACAATTTACGTGCAGATCAGGTATAACCAGCCATTTTTAAATTTTAAGTCCTGTTTCCTCAAGAGTAAATCTATATCATTCAAGATCTACATCCATGCATTTACCTCTTTTTGTCTTTTAGTGTCATACCCCTTTTGCCAACAGAGACCAGACCACCAGAGAATATATTTAAGAGATTTTCCTCTATTCGTCTTATTTAGATCATCCGTTTCTAATGCAATTTGGAGTCCTTGGGATTCACATCAGGATGTTCTTTATCTAATTTGATCAAATGACTGACATATTTAACTTTACAGTCATATCACAATTAATGAAAAAATATCAGAAGGTGTTCAAACCATTTTTTTAAAACATGAAAAAAGTTTCCTAAAGAGCTAGCTATTCAGACAAAAGTCACTCAACATCATCATCAACCTTCAAACCCATCTGATGTTTAAATTAATCAGAAGCAATGTACTGAATTAAATAAGTGTAACAGAGGTCATTATATATTTCAACACCTCTGCTAGGATTCAAACCCTGAATCCCTGGCTTACTAGTCTGACTCTCAGCCAATCGAGCTAAGGAAAACTTTTCTTTGGCAGAGTGGTATTTTGCTGCTAGTGTTTACCAGGGTTACATACTTCCCCTCTAGGAAATAGCTCGTCCTGGAGTGCCCAGGGGTTACAGAGGTACTTGCAAAAGAAATGCGAAGTATTATTCCAGGGTCCCTACATGGGTACCAATGAAACAGAGGTTATTATATATTTCATTGCCTCCACTAGGATTTGAACCAAGTACCCCTGGCTTACTAGCCTAATGCTCCACCAATCAAGCTAAAGAGAAGTTATCTCTAGCTGAGTGGTAATGAACACCAGTATCTCCATCACAGACAACAGCTGTAAATAGTTGGATAAATGTCTTCAAACATGTCACATTCTCAGCATACAATAAGAAAGTACCTTGATATTCTCTCTTTCGATATAGTCTTCTAGATCTGAATCTATGCTGGAAGTTGTCTCCCCTCTCTCTAAAATATCCATGCTTTGATTAATTTTTGCCCCATGTAAAATTTGCTAATTTATAATGTTTCTAAACAGATGGAAGATTTTTATGTCTTGTTTTCACCATATTGACATATTTTGGACATTTGAGATGTTACATATTTGAAATTATATATGTATTATTAGAATGGTTACAGGTTACTGTCAACAGAGAAAAGAAAAATAGCAATGCTTTACATTTATAAAAGGTGTACTTCAGATGTCATATACTATAATGGCGAAAAATGTATAAAGCATACAACTTATGTACTGTACTGTACATGTATGTATGTTTTCTGATACATGTCATTGTGGCAGGTTGTACATAGTACTATACATAGAGATACGGTTGTCTTCTAGCTTCCTACAAGAGGGAATGATTATTAGAGCAGTGGACCAGAAGTCAGGGGTCGTGAGTTTGATCCCTGGCAGAGGTACAGTACTCCTTTCCTGTTTACATTCGGTACCACAGACCATCCCAGCTGTAAAGTAAAAGCAACTGAAAGGCAAGACAACCTGTGTTGATGTGTTGTTCATCGTGTCCCTGTGACCACATCAGGGTGAGGGAGACTCACCTAATGTTACTGTCACCTTCTAGTTTAGTCTGTGTACCTACAATTCTATTTTTGTCCTGGTCACAAGTGAAAGTCAGAATTCCTCATCATACAATATATGAGGAATTTAATTTTAAAATGAACTTGCGAATAAATGTCGGAACCTTTCAGCTTGTTATTTGATGTTTCATTCAAAGACAATTTCTTCTTTTTTTTTTTAATTTCATCAGAGACATATATAACACATGTGATATATTTTCTCTGATTTTATGTAAATTGTGAGAAACAAGTTTCTAACTGGTTGGTTGTAAACAATGAAACAAAAAAATGAAGGACCAGAGTGAATCAGCCCACTGATATGATGTTTATGCCCGGAAACAACATTACAAATTCGACAATGAATTCGCCCTCTTTAACGTAGCTGGCGAGACCTCGTCCATGATACCCAATCTACTTTCGTTTTAACAAGGGATATATAGGATACATGGTTTTTTTCTCGTTTATATCGATAATTACGCGCAAAACTTTAAGAATTGAAAGATATTAAACTTCTATAAGTAATATCTTTGGACTGAAATATATAAATATCTCAATTGTTTATATTAATAACCTGCAATAAGGCGCTAATAAACCAAAGGGTGCAGAACAGGAACTAATATGTTAATATGCTTCTCATTTTTATATTCATCATGTCCGTCACTATTTCACTTGATTTAGATTATTTCTTAATTTACTCACTATGTCAGAGCATTTCTTTGGCATGTGGATACATCCACAGTGGCGATCTTGAAGTCCTGGTTCAGGCCCTGCGCAACTGTCAGGTGCGTCCACGGTATTTTCTCCGAATGTCAAGGTCGGGTTTTACCAACCAGGCTAATTTTAGAACACGTACCTAGAATACTTGCATATCATTGATACAAGGAAAACAGACACACATGTGTACGGGTGTTTTTCATTTTCACTTTCACGAACATAGATATAGCTGATCACAATAATTTACACATTATAAAAGAATCAAAGAATAAAATAATTAGGTGTATCTACTTAATTGTTCACATTCGGTACGGTTAAAAAATGCATGAAAATTTGTAGTAGGCCCCCATGCCCCACCGTCGGAAACGATAGCTGCCCACACGTGACTGGCAATTAGTCACAGCCGCTGTCTACTGTACTCGTGTATATCCATGTCCTCCGGAGAAGTTCGAATGAAGATTTTTTCTGTGTTGTTTTTTTTTTTTTGTAACTTTTGCTGATCATGTGTTCATCGAATGATAGATATGAATCTTCTGTTACCACTATATTTTCCACCGAGAGGTTAGATTGGCTCATATTCATTTTGCCCTCTGCTAGTTTTCTGTCTGTATGCTAAGTAACAATGTGCTAATCCACTTACACATTGTCTCGAGATCTTTTTGAAGTTCGACACTGTCCTATTTGTGTGTTAATTATCATCATTATTCTTATTTTGTTGATAAAATATTTGATGTCATCTGCAAATAGGTATAGATCCGGCCGAACCGCTCGAAGGAGATTACTAAAAAATACAAATATCACTGGCCCGAGCAACTGGAGCCTTGAGGGATGACTGATGTAACTTTTTAAAGTTTAGCCCACTCGGAATATACACCGTTTACAGATGCTCTTGTTGTCAGCCTATCATGAATGTCGATATCCAGAAGATCATTCAATATAAACTATGTGTTTTTGATTTATTAAGGAGTTTGTTGTGTTGGAACTGCATCAAAAGCTTCCCGGTAGCTCCATATAAATACAGACTTCATGTATATAACCACAGGTACTTGTAGACTCAATCTAAAATGCTTTTGTGTATTTTGCTATTTTCAAATGCCATTGAAGATGAGTCCACATGTACCCGTGAACCAGTTCTTTATCCAGAACTTCTCTCCATTTATCCAAGACTTCGAATATTTGCAAACATGTCTTCCAGGCATGAACCACACTGCTTGTTAGAAAAGTATTTGTTCGTTCTCACAAATTTTGTTCATTGTTATGTTCCCTCGCCACGGACTGTATAAAATATTTACTAATTACTTACCTGAATCTTTCTGCTTCACTTTTAACATCTTTCTTAAAGATAGCACAAAACAGATTTTAAACAAAATTGCAATCGTCTAGCAGTGTTCATGGGCATAGTGATTTGCTGATTGTGTTGTTGTTAAAAGACAAGATATTGAAGAAGCTAAGAAAAGAGGAGTATTTCTATTTACAGCTGACAATAATATAAATCAATAGTCGACTCGTATACATATGTAATTATTTATTTTAAATGACTTAATATGTTTATACAAATGCATATTTGCGACACATTTGTAACTCTTTTTTTGTTGGAATATGAAATTTGAGAAATGTTTTAATTTTCATTCATTTTCTTTTAATAGGCAAAGTATGATCTTAAAATACGTGTTTCGTATTTCTTTTAAAAACAGAGTAGGCCTTCTACAAGTACTTTCTTTTGCAATATCATGAGAACATACCTCTTTTCTTTACGTTAATTTCAATGTTCTACTTATAAAACATGTACGTTACTAAAACTTGATCGGTAGACAAAGTCGAAATTGTATTATCCCAAGACAATGGCGACTGGACAATATATTAAGCTATTAGCGCCAGAAAGGTGACGTCAATTTTACCAAAGTTTTGGACGACTGAAACTTCCAATGTCGGAACAATACCAATGTGACAATTTGTCCCATAAGAAGTCCTCACGAGACAACCCCACTTTGTAGAGATGTAGTTAAGTAAGACCACTAACTGTTTCTTACAATAAAGATACAGGTGGGGTTTAACGATTGGCAAGTGTCCCCATCAACGTTGGTTTGTGACACGGTGCGAAAATTAAAATTGTATGGGTATCTTAAAGAATGTAAAAGTCTGTGACATGTAGATGTTACATCTTTCGGAAGAGAAACAACATCAGTTTTGGATAATCAGCACATTTACATTTCGCATTGATCTTCTAGTCGGTTTTGAAGACATAGGGTCGAGAAACATGATGTGAGAGAAAGGAGGTAGTAGATTTCATTTTTTTTTCTACTCTGCCGGCGAGTCCCATCCACGTGGCCTTATATGTAAATAAACTTTTGGAATCTGAAGCTTCTCATTCTGTCGTGTCAACCGGGATGTATGGCATTAAGTCAGCACAGAATTCACGTCAATAAAGGATTCCATCAAGAACAATTTTCTGAAAGCGTTGAAGAGTTTAGTCAGGAAACGCTTGTGCAAGAAAGAACTATTGACGGTCGATAATTTGATCAGTCTGAGTGACATTAATAGTGACTCGGACGATGTACTATATAATGGATTTAGGATTTCTCTGAGGTTCAGCTAGCATAGTAATTTACATTGTACAGATTTGATGATTTTTCACGGTAACTTTAGGATGATTTGAAAATGCAAAACCGATCAATATCACCATGGCAACAAAATTGTTATTAGTATAGGTCATTGATCAGTTTTGTAGCAAACAAATACTTAGATCGAGCGATACGCGAGCTTGATCAACAAACTAAGCCTTTGAGTTATATGGTTGTCAGGACAACATTAAAAAAAAAGACCTTAACTCGTTACGGACGGGAGCGATGGACTGTATCCATTGAGCTTTGCTTGGCAACAGCATATGGACAATAATGTTACGACTTGAGTTAATAATGGCACATTGATTTTGCCCTCCACATTTAAACTTTATACTATATAGATATTGATATATACTTCTCTTCAAAGAAAAGAAATGTATACCGGTTGAAACCAACATATAGCAGAAATTATCACCAAAATTATACTGTAAGCTAATGAAACGAAGTATGCTATTGATATTAGCATAGTTCTAGGTTCACACACACACACACACACACACACACACACACACACACACACACACACAAGTCAATAAAATAGCAATTCAAACCGTCCGTATATATATAAATATATTGCAAAGTAATAGTCCTTACGTATTGTAATTATATTCGTGGTTGAGGAAAGTAGTAAACTTGAAAAAAAGTGTCATGGCGGTGGGTGTGAAAAACCTGAAAAAGTGTCATATCGGCGGGTGTGCGCGTGGGACGAACAGTCCAATATTGTGACGTCTAATGAGGTAAAGTGATGTTATATATTAAGACGATCTCGCCACAAAGTCAAGGATTAAAGCAAAATTGATGTTCTGCTTGTAAGTTTTGTTTGTTTATAAGTGCTGTTAGTTGATAATTCAAACCAAGCCCCCAGACTAGCTTCTTATCATGGCGCCAACTCGCACGTACAGTGTTCTGTACGCTTACGTCATGTCGAGAATTCCGTAAAATATATTGTTCAGAATTTATCAATAGTTCAACCACACTGAAATATATAGTAATTCGTATTCTTATTTAAAAACTAATTTTGGAGGCTTTTAAAATAGCGATTTGAAAGATCGCGGCATCATTTACACAGAAAATTGCCGCTAGAGGGCTCTAACTCTTTTCGATATTTTAGCCAATGAGAAGGCCAGGAAAGGCCGTCGCAATAGGCTATGCGTACGGAGTACGTTTAGCCTAAAAAGAACATCTCGGTAAACATTTGAGATTTTATTGAATGATTTGTGTGTATAAGTCCCGGTATTTGTGATATTGATCCGGAACATTTTTTCTATATTTTATAGTAAAGTTAATTCTGACATATCTGCTGTTTTAGATATACATGTATATAAATATATGCATCCTCGCCATTCATATGAAAATCGTGGTGATATGATGGTGGGGCAGTTATAGTAAGTCTTGGCTAGACGATTTTCGGACATTGAGAATATCAACTTTGTAATATAAATATATATATATAATTCTCTACTGTGTCCATATTATCAAAGAAGATAAGATGTTCTCTCTTTTAGTATCATTAACGATATCAGAGAACGGTATATTTCTTGTCTTATGCTTTAATATTAGATAAATCACTATTTATGATTTTTTCAGTGTAAAGAAGAAACATATTTTTCCTTTGAATCGTGCAGTTCATGAATATTGCTAATGTATATGTGTTTATTTCGCTGTTATTACGTGTAGATTTATATGATAATATTTCTTCTGTTTGATTCGTTTACCTTACCTGCTGGCCGAATTTATCCCAATCTAAGTTTTGTCTGTGTTTCACCGGATTGTAGCATTTGTCTCCGTCTAAGATTTTTGTACGTTTCACCTGGGGCTGGAATTGGTTCCTATATAAGATTTTTCGGGGAAAAAAATTACATGACTAATGTATGGTTTAGTTTTAATTTTACACTTATAAGTGTTACAAGCTTGCCATAATGGAAGTCCTGGGTAAATGAAGTTATCTAAAATATCACCTTTCCGTAGTCAACCTAAGTATAGCCTTCAGCGACTTCTACCTTACGGTCATTAACATTAGATATTTCAGATATGTGAAAACAACTTTCGGGCATACGAACATCATTTTTTTTCAAAGCATGTACATATATTTTAATTGTAGAATCTTAAATTAGCAGCCTAACGGCAAACAAGCACATCATGTTAAACGATAACATCACGGCAATAGGGCACCAAATACGTACCTGAAGAACGACTAAACATTCTAGGCCATATGTTGTTAACTACAATGCAGTGGATGCCGTTTTTGGTGGTTATAAGACATTAGACATGTACTTCAATCAAAATGTCACCTCTACTACTTTTTTTGGAAAACTTTGGACTTCAAATTTTGATACTTAATTCCTATCCTAGCCACTCAAAAGTGAGATTTGTTATCCAGTATCCAAATCATGATATATACATTTATGTATGTGAACCAATTCTTAGAAAATTTGTATATAATTTGATTAAACGCGAGAAAGCGTCTTAAACATACATTATTTGAAATAAAGAAATTGGAAACAAGTTGTAACGATATGCATACGTATTTATACCGCGTAAAAAGGTAATACTAAGATAATTTCATAATTCTTATCGCTAGATTGACAGATTCTGAGATGTTTTATTAACTTCATCCAAAAAGAATTAAAAGGAGTCCCATGCTTGTGTTCCCATCTATACCATATTATTAGCAGTGACACTATTATTACCCTTTCGCTATCACTATCACAGAGTGTATAGCGGTGCCGTTTAATATTATCAGTTCTGCTAGATGTAGAAAATACAGCCGTTTAAAATGGGAAGAAACTTTGTTGTGCTGATATTGACCCTAACGAATCTGAATTTCATTATTAGTGTTAAACTTTTTTTTATTTCTTTACTTTATTTTAAAGAATTCGAAAAATTGTTAGTTGGATCTGAAAACTGTAGAATTCGGTGGAGTGGTGACATCAGAACATCCAAGCAGACATGGCAGCAACTTCCAACTTGTATCCTGGCAAACATGTAGCAAACATTCTTAGTGAATAAAAGGCATATTTTAAAATGTCAAAGTTTCCACTACACTATTTGAAAGAAGTGAACACATTGGTGCATATTCTATGATACTTTAACCGTCTTATATGGTTTATCCACTACTCATTTACTCTGAGTAACAAAAAAAACAAATAGGCATGGCCTTAAACACAAAATGACACTGTCTTCTTTTCCGAACTTATTATTAGAAAAAAAAACAGCATAGCTCATTTGGTTCAGTACACACCAAAATAGTTGGCAGTCGTTTCAGTGTTTTATCTAAATAACCAAATGAAGAAGATGCGTTTTCTTTACGTCGTGTATACCACGGTATCTTTGGGCCTTCTTTACTACAACTTCGGAATATTTACAGCGCTATGTGAGTATCTGATTAACATGTGTATTTGGCAATTAACTCATCTTGATAAGAAACTCTTAGATCGAAATACTCATCAGAACACAAATACTCACTAAATACGTGTTCATTACCAGAATGTATATGCAATCATACAAATATTTACATTATATGCAAAATACAATAATTCAAGTATTCACGTTACATTTCACAGACAATCATATACACAAAATGGCACAGCTATATTCACAGTATATGTTGTACATAGTCACAGTGTGCAATAATATTCACAAACGATGTCATCCTCTAAGCTTTAAATGTTGTTATTTTCAGACAGGAAAGTTCAGTCGGGCCGCAATTACAGAGAGGTTAGCTCGATGAAGATGGAGAAAATATTTGCTGAGCGAACTCAGCACCTGAGGAAGGGCTGTGAGAAGACTGAGGAGAGGAACAAATACATTATTAAAAACAGACAAAGTCAAACAGAATTGCTATACTTCAAAAAATATCACTTTAGTATTTGTGAAGTACCCAAAGCTGGTAGTACGCTTTGGGCTATATTGTTTCTAATGCTAGAAACACCTTTATCAGCTGAACGTATACTTAACACGCCAAGGCATGAAATACATTACAAGGTTAAAGGGGAACGTGTCCAGTCCAATAACGAGTTATTGAAGTCCAGCCGAATTGTTGTTTCTCGAGATCCGTATGCAAGATTATACTCTGCTTTCGTAGACAAAATCTTTCTACTAAGAAATGTCGAATATTCTAATAATTTAGCGAATTCATTGCAAAAAGGATTGTCAATGACGAAAGCGGGACCGTGCGGCTTTGACATCAGCTTTCATGAGTTTGTGGATAAAGAAACTAAAAATGGATTGCGAGGGGGACACATAGACCGACATTGGGGTCCTATTTACACAATGTGTAAAGCCTGTGATATAGGGTATCAATACATTATACAACAAGAAACATTAACTCGAGACACGGAGTACATCATTGGAAAGTTAAAGACCACTACAGAAATAAAAGCAACTCTGTGGAAATTGTTTCATGGATCTGATTCTAAGAAACCGATTGAAGTAGTCTTAAAAACAATGTGGAGTGATTTTGATACTCCTTTGATGAAAAAGTCTTGTAGCAACAAACTCGCCTTTGCCATGAACTTATGGGACGGGTTTAAATTACAAGGTTATATCAGAACGGATGCAGAATTTCCATTATCATTTCAGGAGAGTAGCAATGTCAACGTCGATGGCTTCACCAAAGCTATTTTAGACGAAATGTATACGAACCCTCTATCCAGCGTGGAGAGGAAGGATCAACGTAGACGAGCTTTAGTTAAGGCTTATGCAGACATGCCTAGACGAATCATAGCTCAGATCCAGCAAATGTATAAAATGGATTTTGATTTGTTTAATTATGATATTGATCCACCTACCTAAATATTGTTATAAAAGGATTACTACTGAATAGGACGGAAAAGGTTTTACCTTGTAATAACATAATTCCTGAAAAGAAAGACATTCAAATATGTACATTAATGTCTCACTCTTATTAATCAAGGTTTCAAACAAAGTGTTGATTGCGGCATGTTCTAAAATAAAGTTTGTATCTTTCTGTTTTTAGACTAAACGTTCTCAATACGAATAGCCTATTGCGACGGCCTTTCAGACAAAATTTACCGATCTTGGCTCCAAAGTGTAGGAGTATGGGGAAAGTAATATAGCTTAGCGGTTATTTGTGAACATTTTTCAATACGTTTAGCCTTTCAGTACTTTCGGTACTTTGATTTATTTTTTACTCCGCAAAAATCTTGGTACTCCAAAAGGTTAGTATCATACAGTAACTGTCAGGACCAAAACAATTGCTTAGTAGCACTGTGCTTGGACACTTATCTCTAACTTACGGAGAGCTTTCGGTATTCTTATACCGTTGGCAGTTCATGAGCTGGTAATACACAAAAATCTTTAGTAAGGATACGTCTTTAGAATGTCATACAGTGAAAATATAATTTAATTGATCATTTTCAAGTGATTTGATCTAACGGATGATGGACGGTTGGTGTGATCTAAAGGATGGTGGGCAGTTGGTGTGATCTAAAGGATGGCGGACAGTTGGTGTGATCTAAAGGATGGTGGACAGTTGGTGTGATCTAAAGGATGGCGGACAGTTGGTGTGATCTAAAGGATGGTGGACAGTTGGTGTGATCTAAAGGATGGCGGACAGTTGGTGTGATCTAAAGGATGGTGGACAGTTGGTGTGATCTAAAGGATGGTCGACAGTTGGTGTGATCTAAAGGATGGTGGGCAGTTGGTGTGATCTAAAGAATGGTGGACAGTTGGTGTGATCTAAAGGATGGTGGACAGTTGGTGTGATCTAACGGATGATGGACAGTTGGTGTGATCTAAAGGATGGTGGACAGTTGGTGTGATCTAAAGGATGGTGGACAGTTGATGTGATCTAAAGGATGGTGGACAGTTGGTGTAATCTAAAGGATGGTGGACAGTTGGTGTGATCTAAAGGATGATGGAAAGTTGGTGTGATCTAAAGGATGGTGGACAGTTGGTGTGATCAAAGGATGGTGGACAGTTGGTGTGATCTAAAGGATGGTGGACAGTTGGTGTGATCTAAAGGATGGTGGACAGTTGGTGTGATCTAAAGGATGGTGGACAGTTGGTGTGATCTAAAGGATGGTGGACAGTTGGTGTGATCTAACGGATGATGGACAGTTGGTGTGATCTAAACGATGGTGGACAGTTGGTGTGATCTAAAGGATGGTGGACAGTTGATGTGATCTAAAGGATGGTGGACAGTTGGTGTGATCTAAAGGATGGTGGACAGTTGGTGTGATCTAAAGGATGATGGACAGTTGGTGTGATCTAAAGGATGGTGGACAGTTGGTGTGATCTAAAGAATGGTGGACAGTTGGTGTGATCTAAAGGATGGTGGACAGTTGGTGTGATCTAAAGAATGGTGGACAGTTGGTGTGATCTAAAGGATGGCGGACAGTTGGTGTGATCTAAAGGATGGCGGACAGTTGGTGTGATCTAAAGAATGGCGGACAGTTGGTGTGATCTAAAGGATGGCGGACAGTTGGTGTGATCTAAAGGATGGCGGACAGTTGGTGTGATCTAAAGGATGGCGGACAGTTGGTGTGATCTAAAGAATGGCGGACAGTTGGTGTGATCTAAAGAATGGCGGACAGTTGGTGTGATCTAAAGGATGGTGGACAGTTGGTGTGATCTAAAGGATGGTGGACAGTTGGTGTGATCTAAAGGATGGCGGACAGTTGGTGTGATCTAAAGGATGGCGGACAGTTGGTGTGATCTAAAGAATGGCGGACAGTTGGTGTGATCTAAAGGATGGCGGACAGTTGGTGTGATCTAAAGGATGGCGGACAGTTGGTGTGATCTAAAGGATGGCGGACAGTTGGTGTGATCTAAAGAATGGCGGACAGTTGGTGTGATCTAAAGAATGGTGGACAGTTGGTGTGATCTAAAGGATGGTGGACAGTTGGTGTGATCTAAAGGATGGTGGACAGTTGGTGTGATCTAAAGGACGGTGGACAGTTGGTGTGATCTAAAGGACGGCGGACAGTTGGTGTGATCTAAAGGATGGTGGACAGTTGGTGTGATCTAAAGGATGGTGGACAGTTGGTGTGATCTAAAGAATGGTGGACAGTTGGTGTGATCTAAAGGATGGTGGACAAGTGTTGAAATCTAAATGATGATGGATGGTTGCTGTCAACTGTTATATGGGGGCTATATGAAAGATTTCTGTCGTTAATCGTCGGCTGATTAAATACTTCATTTATTTTATGGGCATATACTTATTTTACAGTTATAATACAAATAATGTCATAAATCGACATGCACATGCACATCTGTCCCTGAATATAAAACACGTGCATTTGATTCTTACACATTTACCTCTGGTATTCATAAGACTGATATCATGTGTCAAAATCACGTGATGCCACTAAACCTCACCAAAACCGATTACTGAATCAATATAAAGTGATCAATTACAATCTCCCTAGGCTACACGTATTTGTGTTTCATGTACATTTGGACTATCCCCATGTGTTTAAATCTTGTATATGTTTATCAATAGGATTTGTCTAAAATCCCTTTGGTTACGTTTTAGTTTTATCTTAAAATGTAACAGCTTGAGTTAACTACAAGAACTCCACTTGGATTAACTATGTCAACGAGCTGCAGTTTGCGAATTTGAGTCTAATCTTATTATATATATATATAAATAACTGTCCCGTTCTGTATACTTCTATTTAGCAGTGTGTGATTTGTATTGATTGACTACCAATGCTGACCGTTTCATATTATAGTCAAACAGACCATCTATATCTACATTATATTGGTCGTCTCGTCTGATACGATGGGGATAGCTAGATACAGGTGTGCTGTTGTTGGATGTATATCCGTGATTTTATTTTGTTTCTTTTATATCTGTGAACTTAAATATGAAGATGGTGAGTAAATGATCCATTCATTTCATGTAACATAATTCTATTTACAGTATATATAAACTGTGTCTTTTTATTAAAGCAAATACTAGAATTCAAATACACGATTTAAATTTAGACAAGACGCAAACATATCTAGAAGCACGACTGAAATGATTAGATTAGATACAAATACGACGTACATATATTGTAAAGGAAATAAACAAAATGCATTTTACTAACTATATGGGCATATCCCTAGGGTTAATTTGATCACTATCATTACCATTTTCGGTATTAGTGTCTTTTGGTATTCTACGTAGGAAGAACTTCATCTTGCTTGATGATCGAGAGCAATGAGTTTGTAGATGGAGATATGGTCTTTCAATACAAAAGACAGAACAGGGATGTCACATCAATATATACTATATAGATATCGTAGCATATATATTCAATTATCGCGGCACATGGGGAATTTCTCGATGACAAACAAGGTAGGGTTAAATACACGTAAGCCCTTAGTTTATTAAAATAATTTTCGATATGCTAATGGGAATTTTGGGGATGGCTAATTGCACTGTAACACAATTGATCGGTATATGTGTTATGATTGATTCACTAGAGATTAAAGTGTGGTTATCTCTTTCATGTCAATGCCTTTCCTTTCTGAACGTGATGGGTCATTACGAACATGTAGTATTGTCTTGTACAACTGATATTATCTAGTTAAGAAGTGTTTTTGTGTTATAAATCAATGCCTAGATATCAGGTTATATATTCTATTCTCCACGGATTTTTTTTCTGAAGATGGTCCATGATCATAATAAGATACTATCCTGAGGAAATCGATTATTGTGTCTAACATCAGTAATCCATTTCAATATTTGGGTATTAGAATAGTTTCAGTAAATTGATTGAATTACGGTAAGCTGTTATTTCCTTCCCAATGCCAATAAAACGGGATAAAACATCCCTGTTAATATTTGGTGTGCCTGCGGTACCAATGTAAGAGACCAATCATTTCACATATTCGATTTGCAGTCATTGAACCATATCAAAGTATCATTACAATCGTAAAGAAGGTGTTACATATCTTAACCTCAAAGCAGTTTGTCAAATCTTAGTGCGACCTGTGCTATTTTCTGTCTCTTAGAAGATAAAGCAGTGTTCGTCGATATTTGTTTTGCTGATTTCCTCTTGTCTAAGCACTGCAAATCACAGTAAAGTATTTTGTGTATGATAGCAGCAAACCTGTAATACATAATATAATGGCGTCATATGGCGTCAATAGTCAACTTTTTATCAAATGCCAATTTTTTAAATTAACACTTATATCTGTTTCTTCCAGTCAGGGACATTGCATTCAAACAACATCAGACCAAGACGGATACCCATTACACTGACGATCCTACAGGCACAATGAAAGCATGGAATGATCGTGTCACCCATTTGCAGAAAGGATGTGACAGAACTGATCTGATAGACAAATACAAAATCAAATATTGGCAAGGTCGAGCAATATTTTTCCAATCAACGAAACTAAACGTAAGCATTTGTAAAGTTGCAAAAGCCGGAAGTACATTTTGGGCTATTGTGCTTTTAATTGTCGATAAAGGCATACCGGCTACTAAAGCATTTGGCATTTCCAGGAGCAAGATACACGGCATAAGTAACGAACTTACCATATCGTTATCACCAAATCATCAATCACTGGGGACGAAAGGTGTTGTCGTTTCCCGAGATCCATATTCAAGACTTTTTTCTGCATTTATAGACAAGTTCTACCTCTTAAGATTTGCTTCAAGTGCTAAATCACTAGCGCGCTCATTAGGTAAAGGGCTGTTTATAACTGATGCTGGTGAATGTGGATATGACATTTCTTTCCAAGATTTTGTAGAAAGTGTAACCACAAATGCTCTTCAAGGAAGATCTATCAACCGTCACTGGTGTCCAGTTTACACTTTATGTAGAGTTTGTGATGTAGATTACAATTATGTAATAAAGCAAGAGACACTGACAAGAGATACGGAGAACATTATAGATAAACTGAATATTAGTAGGGAAATGAAAACAACACTAACGAAAATGTTTCATGGATCTGGTACAAATAAAACAATGGAGGGGGTTATAGAAACGATGTGGCAGGCAATTGATCGCAATGTGATGCAACAATGCTGTAGTAACAAACTAGCCTACTTTATGAAAATGTGGGAAGCATTCAAGATACAAGGTTATATTAGAACAAATATTTCCTTTCCATTGTCATCATTTCAGGAAAAGGGCGATGTTAATGTTGACGAATTCATCAAAGCTGTTTTAACAGCAATGTATACGAACCCTCTATCCAGCGTAGAGAGGAAGGATCAACGTAGACAAGCTTTAGTAAAGGCTTATGCAGACATTCCAAGGCGAATAATTGCACAGATCCAGGAAATGTTTAAAATGGATTTTCATATGTTTGATTATGATGTCAATCCACCGACATGAAAAGACTGTTTCTGCTTTTTATTGATAAATAAACATCTGTTGATAGCTGATGTTGGCCACACAATTACTCGTTTTGCATGATTACCGTTACGCTTTCTTTTCAATGAGCGATGACTACAAATGTTTACATTTTCCCCAGTAAATATAATGGAAAAAACTAAGTTTCCAAAGTGACGATTCCATAGACTGGTCTCAAAGTTGTTCTATCATTTTGTTATGATATTTCAATTCCTTTTTTACTTTATCGAAGCGAAATCAGGTTTTCTAGGTTTTTACGATCATTTGTTAAGATATCTTGAATAATATCCAGTACTGCTTGAAGTCGTATAACATTACATATAACTAATATAATTTCGTGTCGATAAAAACAAAGAAAATAATATTAGAGTCATAATTCAAATACAGTTTCGTTTGAAATACGGCAATATATATGATCAAAAGAAAGATTTATACAGAGACTACTGAAATGTACAAGGAGAATAAGGTTTGGTGTTTCAGAAGAGTAAGCATCTTCTGCTTCATCGACGACTCTCGCCATGTAAATCTTTGTCATCCAAGTAAACAGTATTACGTTTCCAAGTGAGAAACCTGTTAACAACAATGATAGCATCAGGGTAACCTGCGAGAATCAAACATGTCCAGCTCTTATGGGAAAATAACAATAATAATAAATAAAGAAATAAACAAATAAAAAACAGAAAAGGTTCATTGAATAATGTCTATAACCTTTCCTGATAAGTCATTTGTGACAGAAATTATTTCAAATGTTGAATTACATGTTTGCTGCTTTAACAAAGATTAGAATCAGTAGTAATTTTGTTTTACTAAATAAACGAACAGATATTACTTAATAAGACAGATCACTTTTCGCAAAGATGCTTTTTTATTCACGGCGGATAAGTGATCAGTCCAGCTCACAATTCATATGCAGTGTGACCACTTGGGAAAAGGCCGATTATATAACACGTAGAAGCTAGAAGTAAGGGCAGCAGCTTGGAAAGATGTGACGTAGTCTGTACTTGATTCATATATATTATCATGTAAATAGCTGCAGCGTTGACAACTAATCGACACCGTTCACACACTTGTACTAAATAGATGTTGTCTCTTGAGAAGTTATATTTTGGTCATTTTCAAATTTGATATGTAGCCAACCCTCACTACTCCCTCCCACACCCCCTCTCCAACACAACCATTAGAATCAGGTCAGGACTTCAGATTTTTATTGCTCTCGGAAAAATGACCTTTTCACGAAAAATGCGAAATATTGAGCAAAGCAATCACTAATTTTCTTTTCATTCTTTTCATAATTTTGAAAAGTATTCTATATATCAGAATATTGTCCAAGATAGTTTAAAAATGTTTCATTGTTTTGCAATTGTGAGCTTGTATACTAAATTGAAATGGAGTTCTGGAAAATTCACTGACTATTTTTAGATACATTTACATATGTTACACTTGTTCCGACTACAGGAAAAAATCGTTTTAAGGTTAGAAAGACTGCTACATGATTTCTGAAAAAGATATTTGTACCCAGAAGTCCCGTTATACCAATAATGCCATGTCCTGTATGAATTGGCTGCATTATGATGTGTATTGAACCATCACCTTCCCGGCGATTTATAGAGAGATAAATTAGTCTCATCATAGCTTGAAATCCTTATTCATCGCCGTGACCTACCCGATAGGTTACAATATGGTCTGATATTGATTGTATGATATTCACATATGAACAAGACAACCCTAGTCAAGCCCTCTGTTGAAGGTGTTCAGAGATTTCCATAAATTTCATAATCTAAATATTGGATGATTACAGAAGAATATCCAATACATTTGTCTATTCTGAACTGCACAAGTATCAAAATACAATTAAAATGTGGTATGCAGATTAAGTGAAAATTCTTCGAATACATAGACAACGATCCATCCAGGTTACGCCGATTCCAGTAACGTATAATGAAGATGTATGATCGCACTGTATCGCGTGTCAAATTCTTCAAAAATCAAAATATGTAGAACGACGAACGCAAAATGATTTCGAAGATGAAACGAGAAACCAAAAATGAAAATTAAATGTGGATTTCTAGTTGACCCAAGATGTAATTATCATGTCGAAACTTGATTCTGATGTTTGGGCGTCATGTAATCGCTGATGACATCAGAAGGGATGGCTAATTAGCGTCTGACAGTGACATAATTCTGTTTATATCGCAACAAATATGCCAACAGTAGCTATGCATGATTTAGGTCAATTTGTAGCTTCAAACAATAAAACAACATCGTCATTGAAAACAACATCGCTCTCTTTTTATAATTCGTGGCTTGACACGTGAGAGAAGCTTTGGCTTATCGCCCATTTAATGTTAAGAGGGGTCCGTGGGGATAAAAAAGAGGACAGCCTTTTTTCATTTTTTTTCTTTCTCTTTGTTTTTACATATTCGCACTGGCCACTGAAAATTACTTAGATATTTGATCAAGATCCGAAAAGTGATATAAATCAAGTTAACTATTAAATTGTAAATCAGCTTTGAGATCCTATTTGGGACCTCGCGACCAGGTCCTCCACAGTCCTTGTGGGTACACAATTTCCATAGTATAGAATATGATTTCTTGCAATAGTATTCATGTTGTCAAGTTAGTGAGTGTTTGGCTTTGTGTCGTGTAATGAAATTTATATCAAATGAACTCAACATGACTAGAGTACTTTTCATTTTATGTCTCCAATATATGAACTACAAATTTTCTTGTTAGCCAACGACAAAATTGATGATTTTGAAAATTTATTATGTAATGATATCCTTTTAACAGATATACTCTAGAAGAAGTTAATAAAAACTGTAAATATACAGTAATTCTATTTGGGACCGCGCCACCAGGTCTTCGGTGGTCCTTTGGGATTCGATATTATCTAAGTATAGAGCTTGATTTACTAGCAAATAATAGATCATTGTTAAGTTATATATGGTTTTAAGTTTGTTTTATTTTTACTTTTGGTTTTGTCTGTTTTCGGTTATCTGATTGTTTGTTTGGTATTTTTGTTTAGTTTGTTTAAGGCCCCGATAACCTTAAAAAAACCCAAAACAAAAGTAGCTGTGGCTGCATCGCGCAAACGTTTTACACAACGTTAAATCATTTCTATGGGGAAAGATATCAAGTGTCATTCTACTTGACATGCGACGTAATTACATGTATATATTGCTGACAAAGGTATGAATGGCATGCTCCCGAAAATGAACAGAATACATATATAGTGTATTTATTGCAGTTATTGTCGCCATTCGCTTGCAGATTAGCTAATTAATATTGATACCGAATTCATATTGTTATATTTAGCCGTCATACAATTGATGATGACATCTGGAGGGATGAACAATTAGCACTAACAATGAAATGAGCCATATCTGTTATCTGTCAGTAGACAAATGGATCCATGCTTGATATACTACTCAGGTATGCGTTGATATAAACTAAAAATAGCATCAACACTGAAAACAACACCGCTCTCTTTTGTTTTAATAATACGTGGCTTGACACGTGAGAGAAGCTCATCTAATATGTATAAGGGTATGTGGGGGGTCTAGTGAAACAGAGGACAGCCAACGTTTCTTCAGATATAAATATTCTCATCGGCCCAGGATATTTACTTCCATATTTGACCAAAACCAGAAAAATGATTTAAAAGAAGGTGATTGAAATTGTAAATCCAGTATTAAACCTTTTGGAACCTCGCCATCAGGCCCTCCTCCAGGGTTCTTTGAAATGAACAATTTCCAAAGTAAAATTCAAATTATTTCCTTGTGGTTGTTATCAAGTAAGTATTGCTTGAAGATTGTTTGGAGATCACGTAACTCATTTTCAAGTCACATGTGGCTTGCACGTAAATTCCCAGTATGTGGGTTGACGGCTAGACGCTTCATTCCTTAGTAGCATGTAAATAAATGTTGTCAGGTACAACAGTAGTTATCACTTGATAACCTAATGAAAACTTAATGTTAATACTTGAATAACGAAACCAGCACAGAAACATAGCTTGTTTTGTTATTTTACAAATGACACAATTACAATGTTGCTGATAAAACCAATAGGTATATAGTTCGTCCATTGTTATCATTGTGTACGTTTGTTTGCAGACAAGGTATGCTTTGGTTTCACACAATCACTAATGTGAAGAGATGGACAATAACTGTTGGTAATGAAATAATAATTTTATTGATAAATATTATCAGACAGAACATTGCATGGGTGATTCATATAATTAAATATGTCTAAAGCAGGATCTATGCTTGATTTACTAACAACACTCAAGTTTGTGTTAATATCAATAACAAAACGATATCTGTTTTATTCTGACATAGAAAAACGCCGCTTTTAGTGAACAACTCGTGGTTTGACACGTGAGGGTAAGTCTGACTAAACGACGAAGTGAACGCCTTGGATTGGAATAGTAGTGAAGGCAAAAAATTCACGCGGGAGGGCTCCCGAAAATTGGAGCCATCAGGACACAAAGACAGGAGAAGGAACAGAGTATTAAGGAAAACAGAGAAGTGAAGTGGCAAGGACACCAAGACAGAGAATCGGAGGAGTAATTAAAGACTGAATTCGTGCAAAAAGCCTAGAAGGAAAACGGCTATGGCAGCGCTATTAAAATTATGCAATGTTAAAAACTACCGATGCAAAGACCGGATTAAATTTTCCTGCCTTTGGTCTCTCGTGTGCATCCTTGGCATCAAAGCTTATGGTAAGTGCAATGTAGTCTAAGTGGATTTTCAGATTTTAAATATACTGTTTAAATGAAAACGTCTAGCAACACATAACAAATCAAAAAGGGTAATAACATCTTATTGATTTTAAATCGTTACAATTATAACTGAAATCACGCTCTTTAGTTTATATCCTTATAGTAATAGCTTGTATCACATCATCGATTTTATATTCTTTCAGTATTAACTGATATCCCCTCCTCGGTTTTATACCCCTATATAAAAAAAAACTGATATCTC